ATTTAAAGTTGCTAAGTCAGCGTTTTTCAACTGATGATTTTGAAATATTTGCACAATCTGCATGGATTGTTCTCATTTAAATTGATAAAAAAAAAAATGTACTAAAGGAAAGGTCATCATGTGTTTTGTAAATATCAATGTGGTTTGTGAGGAATTTGCGATTTGACTGTTGATTATGATATAATGTAAAAGTTCGCGAGAAACACGATGGTGCCACTGGTTTTCGCTGAAATCAACTCCCAAGCTCATAAAAAGCTCTCAAGTTGAGGCCGAAATGGAGGGGATATCCCACCCTACCCTGAGAGTCCACCTCTACATCAAGACCAACTCTCCATGCAAAGATAGGGAGCAAATACATTGACAGGGCTGCCACTTCATTTGGGGACTCCAAAACTGAAAACACGGCATCACTGCTAAATGTATTTGCTCCCTATCTTTGCATGGAGAGTTTGTAGTGATGTAGAGGTGGACTCTCAGGGTAGGGTGGGATATCCCCTCCATTTTGGCCTCAAGTTGAGAGCTTTTTTTGAGCTTGGGAGATGATTTCAGAGAAAACCAGGGGCACCATCGTGTTTCTCGCGAAATTTTACAGAAGAATCAACGGTCAAATCGCAAATTCCTCACACATGCAACATCTCCATTCGCGCATTTGCAAGTCGCCCTGCGCATCTTCGTCGGAGCTATGGGATTATGTTGTTCGAGTTTCATGCAAGAGCTAAGTAAGGACGACGGAGACGAGCAATGTTGCCGATTCTCACGTAAATGCGAATGAGGCCCAAATTAGGGGTTGGAACGAGGATACGGCCGTGGCGTCGCTTGGCAACCGCGCTGCCCGCTTGTGTGTCCAACGCTGACCAAATATGGTCGCTTAGACAAACAAGACGTCGCACGACACAACTGTCGCTGCTCACCAGCTTCAACTCAAATCAAAAGTTTGACGCCGAGACGAGCTCGTACGCTGCCGTCTCCGAGAAAAACGCCGTATGCGCTACTAACGCGTTGTCGAATTGCTGCCAATAAGATACGAATTCCCTGGAAGACTTTCGAATAATTCGAAAGAATTTACTCGTGATTCAATTTTCACAGGGTTGCCACAGATTTTAGAAAATGAAATTCCCTGACAAATTTTGGTGAAATTCCCTGACAATTATTGAAGATGTGACGGATGGTTAAGTAGGCACAACTGAAAATAGTTTGCAGGCAAAATTTGTTGTTCGAAACCTCACGCCCACTCTAGAAAGCAAATCGACGGTGAAACTACCAAACCACGTATCTCGGTTGCGGTGTTTAAAAATCTACGCTCACATTTTATTTTTTTAAAGTAGACCAAATCAATATCATTCCTTGAAATTTTCACAGAATTTTCTCCGCACGAAGAGGAAAAACCACAGAAATTTTTAAGACTGGACGTTCAGCAGTTTTTCATTTAAAAAATAAAATATGACAGGAAGTCTGCGACGTCGCAAACCGAGATACATGGTTTGGTAGTTTCACCGTCGAAATGAAGGTGATTTAACAAATTGTCCCTAACATTTTCGTCATCATTCCTGACATTTCCCGGTTTTCTCTGACTGGTAACCCTGAGACAAGCTCATGCGCTGACATCTCGAAGAAAAACGCCGTATGCTGCACTCTAACGCGTGATCGAATTGCTGCCCATTTGATACGAATTCCCTGGAAGACTTTCGAATAATTCAAAAGCATTTTTTCGTAGTGGAGAAATTTGCACACAAAAATGTTGTTGCCTCATTTGAGAGTGCATAATGAGCTGAGTTCGCAGTATTTTTCATAATTTTTTTCTGACATGGTAAATTGGAGAAAAATCGATTTAAAAGTGCGAAAATGCGCCGCCTTATGACGTCATCCGGCGGCATTTTCCATTTAAACATGTATTTTAGCAGATTAGGTTATTTTGTCATATTTTCTCCAATAATTGTTCAATTTAGAAACCAAGGATATCCTCGTACTCAGTTTTCCTAGCAGTATCATTTTAAATATGAAATTGTCAAAATTTCAGACACCTGCTCATTCTCTTGCAATCAATTTCCAATATAGAGTAAGTGAAAACTTCCGAGATAAATACTCTCAAAAATGAATATTTTTAGTTGAGAACTTTGGCAACAGTCAAAGGACCGACGGCAGTGTGGTAGTGCTGCCATTGCCACTCCCGTCGCTGTAGTGGTGAAATTAAAAAAAGAGAGAGAAAAGATCCCCGGGACGGCTTGAAGCTCGCTCTTCATGGATGATTGAAAACATGTGCCATGCAGGGACACAGTAGCTGAGAGAGCTAGTACTCGCGTTGGCCGCTGGCTACCCTGGCTATAAAACTGATGTGGCAAAAGTTAATTTGATGGACGTTGCTTTTCCGCACGTGATAAATGTTGAGAAACGGGCTGACTATTTCCTATTCTTAATGATGAAGGTTGAATGTCAGATAGAACATTTTACAAGCCAAAATCTCGCTTATGCGTTGTCATTAGGCGAAAAATATTGTTCATATTGTAAGGTATATTTTACTCTGAGGGAGGTCTAAAATGAAGTCTCTGAGCTTGTCCGTGCTTCGAGGGGAAGATTAATGCATGGGCATGGCAGGGGTGATCAGAGATTTTTGGAGGCCTTTTTTCGAGGGTACTTTGAACTGATTTCCCTCGGTTTTGATGCAACTTCATTACTTCTTCTACAGTTTTAAAAGCCCAAAAAATCGTTGGAAACTTTTTTTTTGCATTTTTCTATGAGCGAATTTTTGAATTCCCAAATTTTGACAATACGCGGAATTTGGAAAAAATAGACAAATTAATGGTCAAGTATTTAAAAAAAAAATCTTGCTAAACATGAAAATTGTCTTTCAGTGATTAGCTTCGCAGCAAAATTGTAGGAAAATTCTCTGGGGAAAAAAAGACGCTTAAGTAAGCAGCAATTACAACAGGGCATTGTTTAAAAAGCTTCCTCTGCAATTGATAAAAAAGTAATTAAATATAATTTATTAGGACAGCTGTGGAATCAGCCTGACCAATATTAAGAATATTATCATGAGTATATTTTTAGATCATTTGTAAGAGATACAAGGGCAATCCAGCTGAGTATTTTTTAAGGAGGGGTTTTTGTAGATTGACAGAGAATTAGTTCCATATGTTTTTATGCTTTTCATCCCGATACCTTGTTCATTTTGTTATGGACTGGGGAACTCTTGTTAGCATTGAAACTTGTATCAATTGAAAGCTTATTTTAGCATGCCCTCCAGTTACCAGTAATTAGGTAAAAAGGCAAGATCTTGCAATATACTGCAGAAACAATTTTTCAAATTCTTCTAGAACCAATTTAGAGTGAAGATTCAACCCTGCTGTAATTTCGATTCAGAAAAAAAAAGAAAGAAAAAAGAGAGAACACTTGGAGCAAATTAATCTGAAAACTAGAAAAACTGTTCACTTTGAACTAGATGGATTTGATACTGTCATGTTGATTACAATGTAGAAAAGTTACCATTGTTCCGACTGTTAGTGATCCTGGTGAAACCTAAGATTTTTCTGATTAACTTACCATCAATGGTAAACCTGACCTCCGTCGACCACAAAAAAGCTTTGATTGGCAAAGACTCACCTTCATTACCTGTCGCCTACCCTTAGGTGATCGTTGCTGGGTGCATTATTGTTTTAATCTTTTCTATAAACTATGCCTTTACTTTCAAGAAAAAACTATCAGCAACAACTGATCAGTACCTCGAGTTTTAATTGTCAGTTTTTGTCAAATTTTCTTTCAAGTTTTCTTCCTCCTACAATGATATACAAGGAAAATTAGGAGGTAATATTTTGGTTAGGAACCTTAGTAAAACAATATAGAGCGGAAGCATTGTATTTTGAGACAAATGCCAATCTCTCATTAACTCCGAATCAGCACCACTCAACAGGTAAATACATGCAGTCAGATGGTACTACTAATGAGTGGTGACCTAAACAATACTTGACTTTTGCCTCAACGAACGATGAGTCCGCTCTACTATTATCAGAGATTTGGAAATTTTCAAGAGACACATACTTAGCGACTTTAGCTAGTGATATGCTTGTCATACTTATGAAGTGGAATAGAGCCTATGAAGAGAGGAACTTATTCAGACACCTACAAAGACTTTTCACGAGAAAATATTAATCATACCTACTTAATTGAGGACAAGGAACAACTCAAGTTCTTAACCAGGAAATCTTTGGTATGTTTATATATCCATCCACTGGCCTACATACAATTGAGGGCAAAGGTTGTTTGGATTATTAGCTTGAGGGATGCACATGGATAAACCTTGAATGAGGACATTTGGGTGAAAAGTCAACAGGAGTGAGTCAGTCCTAAGATAACAATTCTCAGGTTCAAGGTTTAAAGTGTCAAAAACAACCAAGTCACAAATTGCCACCTCAACAAAATGTAGAGGGAATGTGGATGAAAAAATATAATGGCCAATTCAAAATGAACTTGACTTGAGCTTGTTGTGGGCTTGTTATAGTTGACGGATCATTTTACAATTGAATCACAACAAGTGATAGAACTGAATGACATTGAGGTTAGGTTTGACATTGATAAGGTCCAGCTGTTTACATAATGGGAGCGGCTAGAATTTAAAGGTAGAGCAAGGAAATAGGAAGCATTCCCTAAAGAGGGGCGAGATATTATTATATTATTGGCAGGATGTTTTAAATGTAGAGCCAGTATATAATTTGGTAGGTTATGTGGTCCTCTTATCAGCTGGGACACCTGTTGCTCATTCAGTTTGAGTTTGAGGACGCACCCTGGTTATGTTACAAACCTAACAGAACTACTTGCAGCAATGCAACAACTATTTCGAGAGTGCAAAAGAAAATTCGATGCATACAATTCAAGATTGGCCTATATTCAACCTATTACTAATGAGGAGTAAGGTAACCTACTTGTCATGCCTCCCATGACTTTACGGTCTGTTTCTTTTTACTTTGTTGTCATGGTAAACTTAACATACCTGGCCTGTGTGTACTAACCCTTTTTAATTGAGAATTCAGCGTGTTATGTAGCTCATTGTAGATCATGGTGAATTTCATCATTGTATCCGAGCTGAAGACCGAGCGTCCGAATGCAAGCCCTGGGTAGTCGGCACATCGTCTCTGCCGCTTCTGTCTTCGCTTCTCCTTCTCAGCAATCACCTCTGTACAGACGGAAGGACATCTCAATTTGGAAAGCTCCTCGATATCTGGATCGTTGTCTTCACTGCCATCAGCTTCAGGTCTGACATTGTTATCAAACTCCAGGTCATTAGGATCTTTGGCACCAATTTTCTGTCGAATTTTCTGAATGATAACTTTGGAGGACGGTATAGACGAAGGCACTTCTTTGGTAGGAGGAGACAATTCTCTACCAATGACAGTTCTTTCAGAACTGGGGAGACAAGTATTTTCTTGAGGCACATATGATTTCGTTGATGCACTATCAGTCGAGACTACATCACTAGAGGCACTTGTTACATTTGGTGTATCACATTTATCACGTTTGGAAGGTCTGGATGTCCGTCGGCCACCTCTTCGTACACTATTTTTATCAGCCATTATAGTACAGCAAGGTTTAATTATAAATATAAAAAAAATAAACCTAAAATGAAGTTATCACTATCAGCTAAGCTTAACCCTACATGTTGACTTCTGCCATCTTGGAAAATATGACGATTGACGCTAGCGCTGCGCTCCTTGGCGAGCAACGACGCAAGCACGCCCCTCCAACGGAGCGCTCAGGAGGTCGTTGATTCGTCGCATTCGGACATGCGCACGCGATCTATAGGAGAGCGGCTGAACTAAATATCTGAACCGTGTTATCAGCACACTGGTGATAAGAGCACACCTATTGTTGACGGCTGGCCAATTTCCACGGCAATTCCTTCTCCGAAACCTGAGTAATAAAGCACGTGCAACGACTCACTGACTGTACAGAAGTCAGAGTCTATGTTGAGAAAAGTAATTATAAGCGTGGAAAAAATCGACAAAATAATTTCACTCTCAGGAACGTCAGAGGAGTTTATTTCAGTGATACCCCCCCCCCCCCCCCCCCCCCCNTACGATCGTTCGATTTTTAATGATTCATCAGCATAGACTAAACAAATTATCCCGACAAGATGCCATGAATGCCATGATAGGGAAGCAAGATGCAGCTAGCAACACTCAACAAAAAAGGAGCAATTTTATAGTACGTTCCTGGCTGCCACAGTTTTGATGTGCTGCGTAAATCGTAAAAAAATATACTTCAAAGGAGGAAAAGATTTCATGAACAAAAATTATCAAGACAAGTAAAAAGGGTCACGTGGGGAAAGAAATGAGAGGGATTATTTGCAAGTATTACCGCGGAAAAGTAGCTAGCTTTCGCTGAAAAATTCTAGAGAATGAGGGTGGGGGGGGGGGGGGGTAAGAAGGGGGGGAGACAACAGTTCATGGGAGCCTAATATATGTCGTAGGTACCAGAGATCACAAATAATAATTGCACCATTGAGTGCAGAAATTCGTCCTTAAAGTATTTATAAAAATGTTTGTGGGCACCCAAGCACGGAAAATAGATGCATAAAACACGTTTAGGAGACGGAGGTCTGGGTCTACCCCAAGCAGGTCCAGGTCCAGAGCCGGAACCCCGCTTAGAGAACATTTTCTGGAAAGGTTAGAATTTCCTCTAATTTTTCGATCGGAAAGGACAGAGAGTAGTACATCACAGTGGACATTACAAAAAAAATATTCTATTTTCCGCCGTTTTCCGTGGGGGTTTTTATCTTCTCTATCCTCTTCATAATGAATTCAATGATCAGGTTTCAACATTGGAACCATATTTTTTTGGGATTGAACTAAAACATGAATCATGGGGGACGTTTCAGCAGGGTAAAACTGATCCAAAACCCTCATAGATCTCGGTACGTAATTCAGAACTCTCCACAGAATCAGTACCGAGTAGAACGTAGCTCCCAAGCGCGCTGCGGGTACCATTTTTCTGACCAGTCTGCGCAAATTTCCGCGACCCTAGTGCGGCACTGTCAAAATTCACAAATTCAAGACGGAATTTTGGAGTGAGAGTGGGGATCCCCTACCGCGCCTCGGAGTTATTTTCTAACCGGAGACCATATTTGGCCACGCGCCGAGAACCAAAGCCAGACCTCTCCTCTGTCCCCTCTCCTCCTCTCCTCCTCAAAGTTTTCCCTCTCTGTTTGCTCTTATTAACTCCTAGCGGGTTTTGACGATGCGCAAACAGATTGCGATTTATAAATAAAACTATTAGATTACCGCTAATCACGAGTGCCAGCGTGGGCGTTCATAACCGTCTTTCTCCGTTCGAGCCCGGCAGTTCAGACGATTTTGAAGTTCAGTCTGGCAGCATTGCATTCGTCACCGGTTTACGTAGGCCGAGTTCTGGAATCGCTCCGATTACCTCCACGCATTTTTTTTTAAAATAACAATTTCGGCAATATGTTGAAACGATGGAATTCCTCGTTTTATCCGACTGTTTGACACGGTCAATGTGAACAAAAATCAAAGCAGTTTGTCTTACTTCTTGGTAATTTTCAAATGGAAAGTAAAGTAATGTAAGCGGAAAATTTTATAATAAGTAAAACATTTTCTTAGATAGCGCGCAGTTCAAGTCTCTATGTATTAGAATTTGTGCAAATTTAATATATTTAAATAATTGGACTACAAATACTCCACCAGTATATTTACCGTTGAATATTGAAGGTATTACGTTTTAAGTATGATCGAGAGGGTTTTTGGGAAATAAAATGGGAGAAATGAATTTACAGTGGCAGCACGAGTATCGATCTAAAAAGGCGAGCATATCGTTGTTCCTCTGACGTAAGGGCGTATCTTGACTCCCACTTGAGCCCTGTTTTACATATAAATGCATGCTCTCTGGGGCTTATGCGAAAATCGAGATACGCCCTCACGTCAAAGGAGCGACGATATGTGCAGTGAAAGCGCACAGAATGTCTGTGCGCCTTCATTTTACTTGGACGCAATAGAGGTATCCATCGAGTAGGAATAGATGTATCTCGCATTCAGGCGTTACGAACAACGTCGCGTCACGTTAGGAAGTATAAGATAACTTAGAGCGAACACGCAGCACTCGCATCTCTGTCTTACTTGGAGAGGCCATCGAATAATCAAGAAATTGACTAAGTATCCATAAAGCGCATTTTGGCATTTTGGTCGTACGCGCGTCTTCACGCACGTCCATAAGTAAATCATGGGGCATATTTCCGAGATATATTCCTCCGGGACCTACTTTAATCTCGATAAAATCGTTAAAACTTCAAATATTCCAAGTTCAAAACACCAAAATGCTAACATAATCGATATAAGCTGATATAGTGACAAAATTCAAGGAGAATAGACTGAAAATAGCGCCATTGACAATTTAAATGCACGTGATTTTGAACGATCAGGAAGAGCGAGAGGTCCATGCTCCACTTCGCACCGGAACAATCGAGGGGCATAAAGGACAAGGCGCATAAGTGCAAATTTTGCTGTTTCGAGAAATACGTGTTGGAAGTTTTGAAGTTACAGGGATCCTTACGGCGGAAAAAAAGTTCAACCTGAATTTTTGATACTTAAAAATTGGGATTGGGGAGCGAATTTTTCACAGAATATGCATCAAGATTAGTTTTACTTGAAATCATTATTAGCTTAATTTCTTCAAAAACTGAACTTGTGCGCATTGTCCTCCAAGCCATTCAATTATTGCTTTCTAAATACATTCACCTAGCTTCATTATTTTTGAATCCCTGGGTAAAAATTGGCAGTAGAATCTGTGTTCCAAAATACCATAGACCTACAGCCGGCTGTAAGATTTCCAATGGCTTCTGCAGCCGGCAACACAATTTCTTATAGCCTTTTATAGCCGATGGCGATTAAGCAACAGCCTGGCGATAAAGTGTATGCTAAACGTTACTAATTACGGATGCTAAGACTTGGTGAGTTTTTGGACTACCGCTCTCTTTTTGAGCCGCAGTATCTTGATTTAATTAGCGAGGAAAGCTCCGTACTTTTGAAGGATGCCTGCCATTCCTAATATGTTGGAGCGCCTTCAATTTCGTATGATACTGTGCAATACCTCTGGTGTGAAATAGTTGCTTCAAGCGCCGCGGTACGCTGCGGCGCGGCGGGTGGGCAGCCAGCGCTGAACGCGCATTGGCGCCTACAAACCTAACAGGGATACTTCACGCATTGCGCAATGCGTGAAGTATCCCTGTTAGGTTTGTAGGCGCCAGTGCGCCGCCGCACACTGTGGTATTTGACCGAAAAACCTGGCCAAAACCTCAATTTTAAATTTTATTTTATTGGAAAACCAATGTGATATTTGGAATCTACACTGTTTTTTACCCTGGTAGACATGTATGTACCAATTTTCGAGCGGCTCAATTTCCCGCGAAGAGACCACGAAGTTACCTAATTCTCAGCGATTATTTTGATATGTTTTGGCGCGCTACTCGCCGATCAGTTGACTTCAACTGTGCGGCCATAAAAGGGAACTTCGGTGATATGCAACACATTCTTAGGGGTATATTCTACACAACTAACCACAGTATTTTTGAAATTTCCATTTTTAGTGATTTTCACAGGAGGTTGAAAAGTGATGTAAAAGTAAACGTTTTTTTCGAAATTCAGAGTCCGATTTCTTTTTACGCTCAACTGCGCTCAAGCGGTTTAAGGCGGAATGTTATAGTCTAAAGTGGGTATTTTCAGGATTCAGGGGTGACAGACTGAGGAAAACTGAGGAATTTGAAATTTTTGACCTTAAAGATGGACTTTTGAGCGATTTTCACCGTTTTCACGAACATGAATGGGAAACATTATGTCGATATTAACGACTGAAATTGTATTTTTCCAACAGCTCTGACCCATTTAGTACCAAATTGGGTGACATTTGGTCACGCAACCTGTTTCCCTGGCCCCTACGCCCTCGAAAGAAGGATAAAAAAAATAATTTGAAAGCGGATGGGAGGGTCACTTTAAAGTCTTGCAAAAGTGTTTAATCCGTTATCTAACAATCTCTTCGTGCTTTATCCTTGAGTATAGACATATTTATGCCATGTTTTACTTTTACAGACAAATTTGAGTCCATGCTGCCGCGGGGTGGGGCTTTAAAAGTGGCCCTCTGGCACCATGAAATTACGCTGAGAGGCACATTTGAAGGCTCGTAAAAGTGAGATATGTTGTTTTGTTACGAATTTTGCAGTGAAGAGCCCTCACTTTGAGATGTGGACCATGGGTTAGGAAGAAATCCATCAAAATTAATCATTTTCACAGGTGCTTCCTGCCCTTACAATGGTTCTCATTATGATAAAACTCATTTTCATCTTATAATTTAACCTCAAAATCATCATTTGGAGGTCCCGGCACTTTCATACTAGCACTAATTTTGATTCTAAATTGTCAAAAATCTAATATCTAGAATGATTCATATTAATTTTTTGAGAAATGTACAATTACTCCTCAGTGTGAGAGATCGGCTGTTTTGTCAAACATATTGAAGTGACTTACGCTGTTTTAAAAAAAAAAAAACCATAAATGAGGTAATAGAAAGTCCTTATTTCGAAAAGTAGACCCTAGGTGAAGGAGAAACTCGTCTAAATGCACCGCTTTAGTCAGATACTTTGCGTCCTTTTAAAGGCTTTTTGGAGGGCTTCTTGC